TGTATGCACACTCTTCTTTGTATCTTAAATGATGCATCATTTTTCTCGCATCATGACACTCATCTATCTCGATCTTCACGTAATCGAATAAATGTCACGTGAGGGTCACCCATTATCGTATGCTTCACTTACTTGAACCTGAACAATTATGGTTGGATGTATACGCATAGCCATATGCTTCATAATTATTTTAAGTTTTATTTCCATAACTATTCCATTTCTAAAATTTAATATAATATTTTAAAATTTAAACCTTTTAATTGAGTTATATCTTATAAAAATATTAACGTTATTTTTCAACTTTAGAAAAAGTCAAAGGGTATTTTAAAATTTTTAAAAAGGGCAAGAATATTAATATATACATACATATATATATATATATATAATTTAATTATATTTTTAAAATAAAATATTAACGATTTTCATATTTAACAGTATATTTTATTAATTTAACATAAAATAAAATATATTTGGAATAAAGTAATCCACCGTAACTAAAAAAAAGAAATAAAAAGAATAAAGTAATAAAGTAATCCACCGCATGCAAGTACATCATAATGTTAGTGTAGAAAGAAAAAAAAAAAATTAAATAAAAAACAAGAAAAACAAAATCAATGTGGATGCCTAAAGCAATCACTCTAATCTAATCTAATCACATACAATCCCTCACGCCATCTTCTTTTCTTTCACATTAATTCAATAACTGGGTCCCAATTGCTTTATACTTATATAAAAAAAAAGTCATTTTAAATATTTATTTACATTTTTTAAAACTTTAGTAAATAAAAAAATTATATTTGTAACCGGTAGATATTATCTTTTATTTAGTGTTCTTTAAAACGGTTAAGAACCAAGAATAGAAATAGAATTGGAATCGAAGGTTAGTTTTCAATGATATTCATAAGCTGATACTAGCAATTAATACCCACCCATAAGGAAAATATAAATTAATTAAATATTAAAAATAAAATAAAATATACGGCAGAAAGAATATTAAGATATATTCTATAAATAATATATTCTCTACAAAAACGCTTCTACTGGGGAGAGATTTCTATAGGGATATTATATATTTCCACTTCTTAAATTTCTGTCTTACTCTGCCTAGCTCTTAAATTTAGGGTTGAACTTATTCATTAAAAAATCGTGGGAATATTTTATTCTAAGAATCTCTATTTCGATCTCTGTGAAAATAAATTAAAAAAAAAATGCTACAAGACCGAGAATTGTAATAGGATGTGAAAAGGGGACAAACCCGTCTCCATTCGATTCCATTCCACAGGATCGATAAACATCTCTATCTCCTATTTTAATTTTAATAAAAAAAAATAATAAATAATAAAATAATTAGATTAAAAAGAAAAAGAAAGAAGGTGGGCCCCACTAAAAGATCATGTTCTCTCTTTTACTTTTGTGGTCGAGGCGTTTGGTATGGAGAGTATATATATATATATATCTATATATAGAGAGAGAGAGAGTTCAGGAGAGGAGAGTGTCCAGGCAGAGAGAGAGAGAGAGAGGACACGTGGCAGCGAGAGAGATGAAGACAGAGAATGGGCTGAGAAAACAAGGGGGCGGAGGAGCAGCGCCATGCGCAGCATGCAAGCTGCTGAGAAGAAGGTGCGGCGAGGAATGTGTATTCGCGCCATACTTCCCCGCCGACCAGCCCCATAAGTTCGCCAATGTCCACAAGGTGTTCGGCGCCAGCAACGTCAACAAAATGCTCCAGGTTCCTTAACTCGATCACCTTTTTTTTTTTTTCTTTTACTCGAACCTCCGACCTCTAAATCGAGACCCAAATTGGGCTACCTCGAGGCGTGTGTGAACACGGGTTATAAACTATTCCGTCTTTTAAAGAGCATGTCAAAAGGTGAATTATGAAATTTGAATTTATATGTTTATATTATGAACACTGTAAGAACTTTAGAATATATAACTTTATTGGAAACATTATAATGAAAATGTTGACTAATTTAGGTTAGGTTATAATCAATTATTTTCAAAAGAATCTTTTTTTTTTTAATTAATTAATTAATTTTAAAGGAAATAAAATGGTTGATGGCTATTGTTATCAACTTTAACGGTTTAATGTTTCAGACCGTTAATAAATTAATTAAATATTGATGTGGAAAATATAAAAAGAAAATCTTTGAATTTAAGGAAAAAAAATATACATATTCAAACAACTCTTTGAAAAAAGAGATTTTATAGTTTCTATGTTGACCCAACAAATTCATTAAATTACAAAACTAGCCCAAATCTTACTTAAATGTGTAAACATGTCCTTAGGGATCATATGTTCCAAGAATCCGATCAATTCGGACTACCTAACTCAAACCATAAAATTGACTTGAGTTGAATGTTCGAAAAATGGAACAATTTTTGTGTCGGTTTATGGGTTGACTTTTTTTGGTTGGACAACCCGAAAATAGGGTTACAATTCATCCAAGAGTTGGGTTGAGCTAACCCAGAGTACCGACAACTCAATCCAACCTAACTCAGAGTTGGGTTGAGCTATGAACTTTGTTCGAGTTGCTCGGATCACCAATCTAAACAACCCCAAATTTCAGGTTGGTCCAAAAAATTTCTCCGACCCGACCTAACCCAATAATATGCCCGTTAAATAACACATAAAAAAAACATATATTTAAGCTAAAAAAGGAGGGAAATTATGTTTTTTTGTGGACTTTTTGGGTTAATTTTGGGACCCACCAATCCCATTTGCTTCTTTGGATGGAGACAACCATCAAATAAAGACCAAATTAGAAACCACCAAACCATCCTTTATTAACTAAATAACAAAAATATTGCACAGAAAAGTTTTAAAAAAAATTAATAAGAAGTTTCTATTATTAAAAAATAAGATAGTGGTCGAACTTTAGGTTAAAAAACTCCGCACCTAGCTCGGACAAAATCTCGACAAAACAAAGTTCAATCTAATATTTTCTTTTTGTCGGGAAGAAAGATTGACGTAGTAAATATTACAGGAGTTGCCACTTCACCAGCGGGGAGATGCAGTGAGCAGTTTAGTATATGAAGCGAACGCTAGGGTGCGTGACCCGGTCTATGGGTGTGTGGGAGCGATATCGTCTCTACAGCAGCAGATAGACAGCCTCCAAACTCAGCTGGCTCTGGCTCAAGCTGAGGTTGTGCACCTAAGGGTGCGACAGACAGCATCATTTTCAAACTATGGGCTAAGCCCAACAAGCCCAGGTAACAGTGGGTCACCCTCATCCAGGCTCATGGGCTCACAATCCTCCAGGCCCATGTTTGAGATGGATATGGTTGTGGACCAGGCCATGGGGGACTCAGTGTGGTGATTATAATAATATTATTTACCCAAAATCCCATTTACTTGGAGATTTAGTTAGTTTTTTTAAAATTTTTTTTTTTAATATTTTGTCAATTTGGCTTTCATTGGGTTGTTGGCCATTTGCTATCTTCTATACTACTTACTTACGACTTTCGTGTATGCCGACCAGAGCTCAGCTCAAGCAGTCAGGTAATATCTCCCTTTTCGGGACGTAGGAATGAACCTATTTATAATATTATACTTTAAGAAACTCGTATATAATATATTATCGTTATGTTATATTGTCGTGATGAACGACTTTATTCTTTGATATTGTTGACGAGTCTGTTCGATTATTTTTACCCAAATAAATTACCTATTAAAAAGATAATTAAAAAAATATTTGAGAAAATTAGCTATTGAGATAAAAACCAAGTATTTTAAAAAATATATTGAAAGGCATAGCCAACGGCTATAAAATCGAGACCTCACGTTGAGTATCGTCTTGGAGGCCACATTTTTCATTGCCTATTCTTGCATTGTTTAAGCCGTTCATCTTCGGTGTTGGTAAGTATCTTATCTTTTGATCTCAGTTTGATTTTGGTTTCTAAGTGTTCGGTTAAGAATAAGAAATAGAATTGGGATGGAGAGTTTAATTTTAATTGATATTCAAAACCAATATCTAAAAATAATGAAAATATAAACTAACTAAATCTTGAAAATAAAATAAAATATACTAGTAATTATACGAATATCTGAGATATATTTCATAATTAATTATTATAATATATTCTCAAAATATTATATCTTAATATGTTCTGTTCGTTTTCAATTTAACCATCGCAATGGTACGTTGTCATTGTTCACTACACTGTTGTCTATGTAGGAGTGTCTTGGAGAAGTAGTCAATGCAATAGGACGTTGGATGCAGGGTTTTTAACTGTAGCCGCCGAGGAAAGGTTCCCTCACAATGTGAGAGCGTCGATGGTTTACGCACACTACGAGAACAGTAGCACATGATCATCAATTGGTTGTAGAGATCTTGTATTGCTTGGATGTCACACGCAAACGACCATCGAGAGATCGCTGCAAAGGGGTTGTGCACGTAATTGCGTTGAGGTTTGACGCTTAGTTTGTGCTTAAATCTAAGGTTTGTGCTAAAGTCTCTCCATTGAAAGTTTGGGTTCAACCACTCCAATTTTGATTGGTGACGTTTGAAATGGAGGCGTGGCAGTTGAAATTATCGAGAATTTCGACGAGCCACCAGAATTCGCGCGTTTTTCAATGACGGTTGAAATCAACTGGATACTAAAAGCTTTCGCTTCTTGTTTCTTAGTGAATAGTGGCCGTGGGATTTGTCTGATCGCTTTGTACTTCTATAATCCACCCCATTTATCATAAGGCACGGATAGAAACTTCCAACTCAGTCTAAGCCCACCGCTAGCCGATATTATTCTTTTGAGCTTTCCCTTTCGAGTTTTTTCTTAAAATTTTTAATGCGTCTGTTAGTAAGAGATTTCCACGCCCTTATAAAAAAATGTTTTGTTCTCCTCTCCAACCGAGGTAGGATCTCACAATCCACCCCCTTCGAGGCCCAGCATCCTCACTGGCCCTCGTTCTACTCTCTAATCGATGTGAGATCTCACAATACACCCCCTTTAGGGCCCGACGTTCCTCTCTACAATCGATGTGGAATTTTACATACTACTTCCAAAACAACCCATTCCCCGTTGATAGCATTTCAAACTTACTCATGTTTTTAACATGAACAATGGGGTGTCCGCGTTACACTTTATTTACGAAAGGATAGGAGATCGTAAATGTAACTAGATATTACATGTAAAAGCTCGAAACGGAATAATCAATTGAATAGCGAAAAAGAAGAGGAACGTGAATTACATTCTTGTGCTTCTTTGAGTGTCTGAATTCTTTTGCTCGGTATCATACCGATGCATCGATCCGCTTTTAACGATCGAGATTAGCTCCTTCGCTGTCCATGTCACTAGAGAAAGATTTTCAAGATGATCTCGAGCTTCTTCATCGAACAATCCGAAGATATGCTTGCATTCTATACACAGTTTGTCCAAGCAAACAAAAGAAAAGTGAAGATATAGTTCATATTTTGACTTAAAATGCAGAGAGTAAAAGAACTCTTACCTGTATACTTGATGAGATTAAGCAATGAATACGATGCAAGAACTCGATCCTCGACATCTTTGTCGTAATTCAAGTACTTTATCAAGGACGGTACTAGAATCGAAGGTGCCATCGAACATAACTTTTCATCTCTAATAACGAACAGGTATCTACTCATCCATGAAACCGTTACAAGACTTGCTTTCGCAAGACGTGGGATACCGTTCGTCATCGCCGTCGAAAGGGCAGATAATAAACTCTTATGTCCGTGGTTAAAGAACACAGTTGATGCTTTCAGCTGCCAATTCACCAGATCTTCTTCCTCTTCATACTAATCATTTAAAGTGTTTAGACCAAATGAGAATCTAACTACTAAACGAATCGTTGTCGAGTAAAGTTAACAGAATCTACGAGATTCGACACGAAGCTTACCAATTGCACGAGCTCATCGTACACATGCCTGCTGCTGTAGGATGAATCCCCAGAGTTCGCTTCGAAACCTGCTTGTTGTAGAAGCCAAATTTCTGGACATGGTTCTCCAGTACACGAAAACCGACCTCCCAAAATCAAGAGAGCTCTAGCGAGATTTTCCGACGTCTTTTCTCGAGATATTTGAGAGTTCAACGCGGTTATGATCGTCACAATGGCTTCTTCTCTGAATATGCTGCAGCAATTGAGTGGATCATCCTGCAATGTGACTGCAACATCATGTGGGAACCATTCAAAATATGTCAAAAGTAATCAAAACTCTGAAATACCATGAGATCAAGCTGCAATAGTATTGTTGCAACTAAAGGCTGCTCCTCGGGACGAGCTCGGTGAAGATCAACCGACAATATGTTCATGATGCTCGAGCCATTCAATCGTTCTTTAAGTTCATCCAGAAGTTTAGTGATCCTTGTTCTTCTTTTGTTAAATGATTCAAGATGAGCTACTATGAATTCAACATGAAACCAAGCAAGCAAGAACAAAAAACATTGCATACCGGCTAAGGCAGAGTAGCTCCACAAGTAAAGCCAGGCCACACCTATCAGAGTTCTTGTTGCTTTCATGAACAACAAGCTCAAGAAGTGCAGCCTTGTTCAGATTCTCAGCCAAGTAGTTTCGACAGGTTCCATCAGCTCGGATGCAGCACGAAATCATCGAAATGGCGTTCTTCCTTTCTTCAATCTCACCGTTCTCTAACGTTCTCAGCAGCAGGCTTAATCCACCAAGAGCAATCAAGTGTCTACCATTCTCTAAGTTTCTATCTTCATCAAATCCTTTAAGGAGTTGATCTAGAAGGTAAAACGCTGCTTCATATGGTGCGCACCGAACCGAGAATAGCATCTGTAGCGACCCTCCGAACTCCAAAACTCTAAGAACTAACGGTAACCATTCGACCGAAATCATCTGTTTAGCTTGTGGCTTTGATAAGTAAAGTAAAATGGATGCTTTAAGGAAAAGGCTGCTACTCTTCAAGAGTTTAAGAAACACTTGCAGCTGTGGATCAGAGTTCAATATCATTAACCGAATAGCCTCACTCCTTGCAGCAAGTTCTGCTAAAACTGATATCACTAATTCTAAAATCTCATCATCATTGGAAGCTAACAAGACTTCCATCATTCCCTCGATGAACGGGGGCGTCGATAAGGCAACCTCGATGGTTGTGTCACCATCGACATCCAACCAAGCTTTGGTTACGACACGAATGGCTATCTCGCACTCACTCAAGATATCCGAGGAGGAAATTGTGGCTATGGCCTTGCAAAGCTCATTGGAAAGAAGATGGTTTGTGTCTAAGTTTCGAAAATAATCAGATTTTTTTACAGTCTCGTGGTGTTCATCCTGCAGAAACAGTTCATTTAGATGTTCTTAATGAAGCTAGCAAAATGATACCATTTTGAAGATGGAGATAAGAGTTACAGACATGAACAGAAGCAATCTTTTCTGCTAATTGCTGGTCAAGATTTGGACCAAAAACAGCATGATATCTATCATCATCAACAAAACAACCATGAAACATAACAAAAACGCATTAAAAACCTTCATCAAATAATGCAAAGAAACATAATCTTGAAGAACTTACAGATTCTTATTGTTGGAAGAATCCAACGATTTTCTCGATGCCCTTCTAATGGAATGTGAAGGTAAAGGCACCAAAGGAACATGAGGAGCTTTGGCTCCATCATTGAGCTGCTGTTCATAATACAAAGCAAATTTAAGAGTTCCCCTGTTCATATGATCATTGTAGAGCTTACTCAACGCCTTGATTTTCCTGTCATTGGACATAAATTCCAGCTCCTGATTGTACCAAACCTTCAAATGGAGGAGATGAGGAAGAAAAAAATGCTCCCAAAGCTCAGGCAGAAGATGGGTCCGAGCAAAAAATGGGGAATCAGAGAACACTTGAAGAACATGCTTAGCAGAAACCTTCTCATTCTTTTCAATCTTGTAAACAGTCGCTAAATAGAGGTGAGCACAAGCAGAGAGATGAGATTGAGCACAATTTTTCGATTTCTTTGCGGAATTCAACGAAGAAATCACCATATTCAAAAACCCTAAGGAATTCCTCGATGCTTTAACTCTCAATTCCCTTTCATTTCCATGTCGTTCTTCAATCAATCTATCAACACTCTTCATACCCATCTCAAAATTACTACAAACCCCACTCTCCATACCCCCATTTCGTAACAAACATGAACTACAGATTTTCCTCACCATTTCTCTAAATTTATCGTCCTTCGAGTACCGACCCACATAGCCACTAAGAATCGAAACCACAGATCGTATAGCGATTTCATCAATGGCAGGCGCCTCCATTGATTTACAGAGCAAGGTCTCCGAGATCGAACCCAATCGATTCGAGGAATATAACGAAGACCCATCTCGCATAATAGATTTCTCAACCTTTTTCTTTGAAGAATCGGTGGTTTTCTTGTCGTGGCATATGTATATGGGCAATGTTATAGAATCATTTGGGGCTGCCCTGCTTCTTGCTTTGGAGCCTGAGTGTTTTTGAGCTCTGGAGAAATCGCTGCCCTCGAGTCCTTCTTGAGTGAGTAATTCTTTCAGAGACGACATTTTTTTGGAGGCTGAAGAAGAAGAAGAATTGGGTGTGGAAAACTGAAGCAGGAGAAGAAGAGAAGGAAATCGATCGGCCAATCCATTTCGACCGGCTGGATGGTTCGAACCGGCGGTTCAATTTGATGACCGTTAATGACAAGTTTAACTGGGCCCACTATTGAATTTGGAAAAATAAACAAAAATCCATTTTTTTTTAATAATAAATTATTTTTGTTTTCGCAAATAATTAAAAGAAAATGGAAAAGGTGACGTGGACTTGAAGTGGAGCAATGACAAAATGATTTTGTAAGTGAAGTAAGGTATCCACGTCAACTCATACATCAAGATCGTGACGTGTTGCCACGTGGCATAAAATTACTTCTCATTATATAGAATATTTGTTATAATATAATAATAATAATAATAACATTTAAGTCCACTGACAAAAAAACAATTCCCAAATATTATAAATGTTAATTTAATTTTTGGAGTATTGGACATTTTCCATTATCTTTTTTTTTTAATTTATAGTATTCGCAAACCGTAAATATTTGAAATAATAATTAATATTTTATCGTTAAAATATAAAATATTATTAAAAAAATATCAAATAAATATTTGAAATTTTAATAATAATAATAATAACATTTAAGGTCCATATTCTGACAAAAAAAAAACAATTCTCAAATATTATAAATGTTAATTTAATTTTTGGAGTATTAGACATTTTCCATTATCTTTTTTTTAATTTATAGTATTCGCAAACTGTAAATATTTGAAATAATAATTAATATTTTATCGTTAAAATATAAAATATTATTAAAAAAATATCAAATAAATATTTGAAATTTTAATTTTTTTTAAAACTTAAAAGTATTATTTAATAAATATATATATATTTTTTATCTAATAACTATCTAAAAGTTTGATTTTTTACCAGATTGATTTCACATATTTAACCTTTTTTTAATTCATAAATCAATTTAATACAATATTTAATTTTATATTTAATATATTTGTTAATTAAATATATTAGAAACCATTAGATACAAAATTTAAAATTGGAAGTTTTACGTGATAATTTTGAAGTTTAAAAATTTAATAAATACTAAAATAAAAAAATTATGACCATTTATATATATTTTAAATTTAAAAACTCATAAGTTATATTTTTTTAAGTCATAAATAATCAACTTTATTAATAAAACTCATCGATCTATCAGTAGAACCATGTTTCATTTTTTTTTTGTTAGTGGTCGGCTATTTATTGGTATCATTCGATCAAGATTTTGTTTTTTATTTTTGAATTTGACTTTAAAATAGGTGATGTAATAGTAGGCTCTGATATCATTTGTAATAGTCCAAGCTTACTGCCAGTAGATATTATTCTGTTTGAGCTTTTCCTAGACTTTCCTAAAAGTTTTAAAATGCGTCAAGTAGGGAGATGTTTTCACACTCTTATAACAATGTTTCGTTCTTCTCTCCAAACGATGTGGGATCTTACAAATAAAAACATCCCGAAAAATAAATAAAATGAGAGAAACTAAACATAAATTTCAAAATCTAAAAAACGAAACCGTTATTAAATATAGTTTACAACCAAAACAAGCAAAGGCATCTATTAATTTGCAAAAGGTGCATCCAAAATTGCACAAACATTAGATTGTAGGGGAGAGTGCCCTACAACCTCAAATAAACACAAAGGTGGACCATAATAGGGGTCCTACATTCTAAAGCTATGACCTATATAACTAGGTCTCTCATCTCCAAGATCTACCGTGCCTGATCTAAGGTTCACTAGTTACGAATCCCAACACATAATGAAGTAGGAGATGTTCATATGATTCGAGAATTCAATAAATTCGGATTACTCCCCTCAAACAATAAAGATTTTTTCGATTTGGGTTGGATTGAATTTTTGAAATATCAAAAAATTTGAATCCGTTCGTGAGTTGACATTTTTTTGGTTGGGTCAACCGAAATTAGAGTTACAACCTAACCTTATCTACCCTAATTCTTTAGAACATTAAGAATATTTAATATTAGTAATCGATGTTTGATGTTATTGATGCATTCTAACTCATAATTAGTTGGGTATTGATTAACGAACCAGGCCCAAGTGTTCTAAATAGAAGTCCAGGCCCAAGTATAACTTTATATGAGAGGGTAGTGTATGTATGTATCACTTATGAAAATATTTTTAAAATATTAATTACCTAATAAATATAAAAAATTTGAGAGATGAAAAAAAAATTGTTTAAATGTTTATTTTTCTTTTATGGATTAGTAACGTTCAAAATAATGTTCAAATTTATGGACGAAAAATGTAAAATTTTAATATAAGTAAAAATAAATTATATTATACTTGAAAAACAATTATAATAATTAAAAATTGATGTTTTTTTTAATATAAGTAAAAAAAAAAAAAGCTGGTTTTTTAAATATTTTAAAAATAAATTTTTATTAAAACAAAATTCAGACTTTGATGAGAATTTTTTTTAATTTAACCTAAATCTATCTTTTTAAAACCAATGAAAATTAAGTCTTTTTTTTATAATCATGATTTTTTTAATTGAAAGTTGTATTTTTTTTTATTTATTAATTTAATTGAATTTCTTTAAAAAACTAAAAAGGAATGAATTTTTCATGGAAAATTCAATCTTTAAAATTATAAGAATTTTTTTAAAAAATTAACAAAAAAAAATTCTAATAGGAGACGACTGAGTAATTTCTTAGACTGCGCGTGCACTGCACGCTCCCCTTTTTTTTCTTTTTCCAATGCTAACACGTTGCATTGCATTGTCCATGACAAGTGTGAACGGTCAACAAAAACTGCACACGTCAGCTTTTTCAATGACTTCATCTATATCTTTTTATTTTATTATTATTTCTAATTTTTTAATATTTATAATTTTCTTTAAATAAAAATTTACTAACTTTTTTAATATATTAAACTATAAATAATTTCTCTATATTATATATATATATTGTATTTATTTCGTCTCCAAATTTTCAAAATTATAAATTAAAAATTTTGGTAACTTTGACTTTTCCAAATGCAAGCGAAGTTTCCATTAATTAAATTGTTTTTTTTAAGATGGGTTCTTATTTGTATTTATTATTAAGTTGAATTCAATAAATATCGGATAGGGATTGAATTGATAATTACTGTATTTATTGATTGAACTATACTCAAATTGATTTGGTGATAGTTTATGTATGTCTATTAAGAAAATAAAAAAATATAAAAGTCTTTGCTCCCGGACGCTATTTACTAATAAGAGAACCCAAACCTACCTTACACAAGACTTATCAACATCGAGGTTTCTGGCTTATTATTATTATTTTTTGTTCCTCTTTTCTTGTCTATGGAAGTTGGTGTTAAAGCTATACCAGCTTAAGGATAGTGTAATAGACGGCTTCCTTGGCATTCCTAATCCAGTGGGGGCGGTATATGGCCAGCCTATAAGAAAAAGCTACGAATGTTTGTGATGTACAGATTCCATCTCGAGAGCACCATCTACCTATCTCTTTTCAACGGTCTTCTTACGAACAAATGGATCGGATGAAATTGGGAATATATATTTTTTTTTGTAATTAGGGAGTGGACCCAGATTAAGATTGTCTTGATGTTCATCCGGTGGAGATTTGGAATTGGGTGTGTTGGGTAAGGGTGTGACGCCATTGTGGACGCAGGTGCAGCACAGCTTGGAAGATTGACGCCATCCCTTTCGTCATGGGAACGACTTCATCTGCTACCCCAACAGTACTCACATTAATCTCCCTCTCTTTCCCTTTTCCAATCAGTCCCCACGATTTTCCTCTCCCTTTCTCTCTCTTCAATTCCCCATTTCTGCTCCATAGAAAGGAGTCCTAGCTTTTTGGGTTCCTGAAAGCGACGAACAAACTCCTGGTTGCCGCCACTTCTGGGTTTGCTTTTTGATTTCTGTTGCTTCCTCGTTAGGGTATCCCTAATTTTGCTTTGTTCGTCTCGATTTTCACTTGGGCAATTCTTTGTTTCGCTTGTGGTTTTTGGGTCTTTCTTTGTTTGATTGATTCCCTTTTGGAAGTGGGCATTTGATGTTCCCAAAGATTCCATGGACCAGTTCTTTTGTTTCTCTCTTTGACCCATTTCTGCTTTCGAATGTTGTATCCAACCAGGGCTTCGATTGTACATTCTAAGCTTAGTTCGATGCTGAATTCGTTGCGATTTGGAATTTTATGTACTCTCAGTTCTTAGGGTTTTGATTTGAATTACTTGAATGCCGATTTCTTTGAAGGGGCTCTGTTCATGTAGTTTGAATGAATTCTTTATGATCAGTTCCTTGTTGTCCTGTTTTGGAATTACGTATTGCTCTAGCTTCGTTTGTTTCTCAAATTCAGCATCGGATCGTTCTTGCTCTCTCTAGAATTGACTAGTTACAAGCTTAGAGCTCAAGTGTTTTGTTCTTCCCAAGTTTGATGGCTGATTCACATGAACCATCATCATCTTTGAGCTTCACTTCATCTTCATATACAAATGGGTCACAGAGTTGTAACATGTCCACTTCTTCTGTCTCTGATCCAGTGCCTAGTCTTGAAGTGATCAGTTTAAATAAGCTTAGCTCTAATTTGGCTCAGCTTTTGATTGATGATGGTTGTGATTATACTGATGCGGATATTGTAGTTGAGGGTGTTCCTGTCGGTATTCACCGTTGTATTTTGGCTGCTAGGAGTAGGTTTTTCCATGACCTTTTTCGAGAAAAAGCGTCGATAAAAGATGGCAAACCACAGTATTGTATGAATGAGTTGTTGCCTTATGGCAAGGTTGGACATGAAGCCTTCTTGATATTGTTGAGTTACTTGTATACTGGAAAGTTGAAGCCATCTCCTGCAGATGTGTCGACTTGTGTCGACAGTTCGTGTGCTCATGATGCTTGTGGACCTGCTATTGATTTTGCTGTGCAATTGACATATGCATCTTCTATATTTCAAATACCAGAGCTGGTTTCATTGTTTCAGGTCAGTTATCAATGGATTTTGATTTAGAGTTCTACTACTTTTAGTGAACTGACCAAATCTGTTTGGCTGATAGTTCTTCATGTTCATATGATCTTTCACTGTTACTATACAAGTTATTAAAATTGACATAACTGCATGAATTGGCAAATTTTGTTGGTTGGTTATGTTTATAACTAAATCTGTAAGGGCTCAAGCCCACCGTTAGCCGATATTGTCTTCTTTGGGCTTTCACTTTTAGGCTTTCCCTCAAGGTTTTTAAAACGAGTCTACTAGGGAGAGGTTTTCACACCCTTATAAAGAATGTTTCGTTCTCCTCTCCAACTGATGTGAGATCTCACAATCCACCCCCCTTCGGGGTCCAACGTCCTCGCTGACACTTGTTCTCTTCTCCCATCGATGTGAGACCCCCCAATCGAATCCCTTTTAGGGTGCAGCCTCTTTGTTGGCACATAGTCTGATGTCTGACTCTGATACCATTTGTAACGACCCATGCCCAGTGCTAGGAGATATTGTCCTCTTTGAGTTTTTCCTTTTGGCTTCCCCTCAAGGTTTTTAAAACGCGTCTGTTAGGGGAGGTTTCCACACCCTTATAAAGAATGTTTCGTTCTCCTCCCCGACCAACGCGGGATCTCACAAAATCCATTTTTGTGAAGTTTGTGGCTTGAAAGGAACATTAAAATCGTCAACACGAGGGAGAAATCCTATGACAGTTTCTTAGATTCTCTTTCTTTTGTAGCTCTATCTTATGAGAACTTCCTTGATAGTTTCGTTTCTTAGCTTCTCTTTATTTTGTAGCTCTATCTTGGTGTCAACTTATCTCCCTTCCTCCTTACAATAACTTCAGTTTTAATGCACTTTTTAGCAATTAAAAGAGGCTTTTGTAATCTCCTTTGGCTTGGGGCTGCACTTTCTCCCCCACTATTGTATTTATATATCATCTACAGAATTGTTTCTTAAAAATGTTTACTCAAAGTCAAGATCCTACTTTCAACCCTGGACTTGGCTTAGGAAGTTCGACAGTGGTTTTTATTCGATCGTAGAGTATAAATTATACATGAACCATCTATTATTGTAAATATTACTGCGTCGGTTGAGCTATCGTATCACTAGAGAAGCTCTTGTACTTTTAGAATTGGATTATCAGCTGAAAAAACATTTTACCTTACTCCCCAAAAGCATGTGTTACCTTCCTTTTTTAGAGATGAACGTGAGTTGGGTTGGATCGAGTTGAGACATTTTTTAGATCCAACCCAATTGTTTAGATTGTAAAGTTTTTCAGCCTAAACAACCTTTATTAAATAATGAATCTAACCCAACCATAATTTTCTGAGTTCGGTTGGTTCGACTTGTTCGGGTCATTTATTCAAAGTTTTGTTTTTGGTAAACGTTAGTTCGTACAACATCTATTTATTGGTATCAAACTGCATTACATATATGTTAATAATACACATAAAAAGGAAAACTACTGTCATCTGATACTGTACATATGTGCAGCGACACCTATCTAACTATGTTGTGAAGACTTTAGTGGAAAATGTCATCCAAATCCTAGTGGTAGCTTTCCGCTGCCAATTGAGCCCTCTTGTCACTCAATGCATTGACAGAATAGCTCGATCTGATCTCGATTGTGTTTCTCTCGAGAAAGGACTTCCATATGAGGTTGCTGAAAGCATTAAAATGGTTCGGCTTAAGCTTCAGAGTGATGATGAGCAAAGTCTTGTTCCTGATAGTCCTCTTGATAAGAGAATCAAGAGAATATGCCAGGCATTAGATTCAGATGATGTTGAACTCTTGAAACTTCTTTTATCTGAATCAGATGTAACACTGGATGAAGCCAACGCCTTGCATTACGCTGCAGCGTACTGCGATCCCAAGACTCTATCTGAGGTTCTTAATTTGGATTTAGCTGATGTAAACCTCCGAAATTCACGTGGTTATACTGTCCTCCATCTTGCTGCTATGCGTAAGGATCCGTCTGTGATAATATCGCTTCTTAACAAGGGAGCTCGAGCATTTGAATTGACCCTGGATGGTCGGACTGCTGCAAATATCTGTCAAAGGTTAACAAGACCAAAAGATTATTATGCTAAAACAGAGAAAGGGCAGGAAGCAAACAAAGACCGTTTGTGCATTGACATTTTAGAGAGAGAAATGTGGAGGATTCCAACTTCAGATTCATCCATTCTTTCCTTGACGATGGCTGATGATGTGCACATGAAGTTAATTTACCTGGAAAACAGAGGTAATGTTTTACACAAGAATATTTAATCAATTTTGATGCACCCCGGAATCGATATCGTATACTCATTCGTATGATCGTTATGTACTAATGCAGTAGCATTTGCACGACTACTCTTCCCATCGGAGGCCAGGGTAGCTATGGACATTGCAAATGTTGATACAACTTCTGAGTTTGTTGGTCTTTCTATGCCCAAAGGTTCAAATAAGAATCTGAGGGAAGTTGATTTAAATGAAACACCAAGTGTGCAGAACAAGAGATTTCTTTCCAGAATGCAGGCCCTTTTGAAAACAGGTTATTGCTGCTATCTCACCCTTTCGTTTTTTGTTAATTGAAATTTGTAGCTGCTAAATCTCATGTAAACTAACATTCTTGGTGGCAGTGGAAACGGGTAGACGCTACTTTCCTAACTGCTCAGAAGCACTGGATAAGTTCATGGGAGATGGCCTTCCTGATCTATTTTACCTTGAGAATGGCACTGCTGAGGAGCAACGGATTAAGCGGAAGCGTTTCAGGGAGCTTAAAAACGATGTTCAGAAGGCATTTGATAAAGATAAAGCTGCAAAGATTAACCGATCTGGGTTGTCTCCATCGTCGTCCTCAACATCATTGAAGGATGATGCCAACCCCTACAAGGTCAGGACACAGTAAAGCCATTATGTATTTAAGTAGAATAAACTGAAAGAAATGCAACCTTGATCTTAATGCATTGAAAGTTTTGCCCTTTGTACAATGAGTAAACTAGGGAGGCAAAGACTCTAATTCTTCCCCTGCATTAAGAATAAATAAGAAAATCTTAATGTTGGAATGTTTAGCAATTGATATCCTTGAATAATTGTTACTCAAGGTTGGTTTGAGGCTTTTGAGCAGCTTTCCCTTCTTCAATTAGCCTTCCTCAAAGCCCTGAATCCATGATACTCGAGGATTAGAAAGAGAATTTCTCCCCCTATACACCCTGGCTGGTGCAAAGGCCTTCAAGATAACAAGCTCGTACCAACGAAGACAATGAAATGTAGATTATGTTCTTCCATTCATCGGACTAGCATGATTAAAACCTTTCGATATTACTTTCTCCCATTAGACCCAACTCGGCCAAGAACTTAGAATTATGAACCATTCTTCACAAAGTTCATCCACATTAGTACCTTTTCCTTCTTGTCAAGTTATTGAACCAGGGTGGAAAAGTCATCCAGATAAAAGAGGTTCAACTATCACTATGAAAAACAAATATAAAAATTTGAATAATGTCAACACGAACATAATTCACAATATAAGGCATCAGCTCTTTCCCCTCTATGTTCGTTGTGTGCTAACAAAACTTGAATCTAAATCTATGCGAGCATTAAAAGAAGAAGAAATTACATACCAGTTGAACAGCAAAAGACCCGTATATTGGGAATTGTCATCCAAAGAAAAACGCTATTTTGTGGGCAAACATATAGAAGAACTAAAATTAGATGGCAAGGTTTAACTATGATTATGGAGACCATGTTTTTTACAACTTTCCCACATGGAGGGGCCTTCTGGATGAACATCCACAAAATATTTTACAAATCTTGCATCAGAACAAGCCAAGACAGTGCTCAATGATAAGTTGGGTTTTGCAGCACCCTTATCCCTTAACCATCTATACATTGAAAATCTTGTGTTTATTCTCTCCATTTTGTAACATAAATAAACTGGGAATGCCGCTATTGTATGCAAGGGGTAACCTAAACAGTTTCTTAAGCAATCAATCTTCTCTTGGATTACATCTTTGCTCTGGTTTAGAACCATGGGCGCATGTCTGACTATATTTGTCACCACATGACAGTCCAAACCAGCATTTACCAGGCAATCAAATCTCTCCTGTAATTGATCTCCCCGACCCCGAAACTGTTTCGACGCCTTTGCCAACTCATCTGAGTTTTCGACGTATCCCAACTTCAGCAGGAATGTAGTCTTCTCCATCTGTTTGGCGGGGTTTTGGCAAGAAGCCTGTTCACTGCTTTTTAGCTTTGATTTGGAAGCCAAGGCAAACAGCTTCGACGGGTCGTCTCGAATGATCAGACATAAACCTTCTTTTCCAACTTTTAGTTCTTTACAGACAGTTTTCGGCCCTTTGAGAGTACACGAACCAAGTAACAGAATTTGATGAGATACTATACCTGCAATGTCCTCTGTTCCCAACCCGATATCAAAGAGAAAATCTACTGCTCTCAGAATGTTTTTAACATACTTCCCAGACAAAATTACAGGGTTTTGTTTATAAATCGAATAAGCTTCGTTCATCTTAAGACCCAACTTGACTAATCGACCGAATAATACATACACTTTCTTCCCAGAATCTTCAAGCAGCAATGAGGGATTTGATTTAAACAGATCGTGCATCTGTATCTCTGTATAACCTACTTTAGCTAGAAAGTCCACAGTGTCAACCAGTCTATTCCAATTATAGGTACTTTTATGAGATATATATCCTCCAATCCAATCTTCTTCAATACCTAATTTACTTAGCTTCTCAAGAACTTTGATGAACTCCATTTTGATCTGACCAATCAAAAGTGAAGGGCAGCAACTAACAAGCTTAATAACTGTGCCCATTCCAAGACCTAAATCCTCATAAGCTCTAAGTTTTGAGGCTAATAGACCATAATCATAAGCAAATACTTCTCTTGCTTCCTTATACATTTTGCCCATCTTGCTACGCGGGATACCATAATTGCACAAAACATGGAAGTTTTCAAGCATAAGATGATCATCACTCAAAAACATCAAGTGTCGTGGAAGAAACAAGGGGAGCTCTGATGGGGGTAGCCCCAGGCTTTCAAAGAATGGCTCAAATTCATTGATGGGATTGTATCTAAGATACTTTCTGAGAGACCTAGCCACATCTTTTTCGCTGTCAAGTTTCATGATCAAATTTTGAAGAAAATGAGGCGAGTTCTTGCTTATATGTTCAGCATCTGCAAAGCCGAGGCTCCTAGTACAATGCAGATAGTCAAATAAAACTTTCTGGGCCTCTGTTCTTGCATACCGAGACACTCGGCCACTTGTAGTGGGCGATTGCGGTGATTCTATAAGGGACGCTCTGGGATGATTATCAAATCCATAATTGCAAAACAATCGAGATTTAAAGCTAAAAAAAGACGGATTATGAGCTTGAGTAATGGTTTTTTCAGATAGAACAGGCGCAAAGAACAGCAAGTGATTGAGCTGGGTAATCATTTTGGAAAATTTCAATACCCGTTTGTGATATCGAAGAATTAGCATGGCTAGAATCCCAAACGAGACTGTGAGAAAGATCCAAGAGATGAACAGAAACCAGATACCATTACAACGATCACCAACATAAAAAGTGAAGGCAGCCTAACAACTTCTCTGAGCCAATCGCGATTCAAGCTTCGGCATCATACCCATTAAGGAACAACCTCGAAATTTAGAACAGTGTTTCGGAAGTGAATCGTGGACGTACCTTGATCGCTTACAGGCTTATGCGGCTTAATGGAAAATCAAACAAGGAGGAAGGATCGGGAGAAGCATTCCAGTTCCCAAATGATCAGTATTCGAAGCTAATTCCAGTTCGTCGTCGCTGTGCCATAAAACCCTAATCAAAGGGTTTAAGGCGGAGCCAACAAACAACTCTGTATTTATAGTAAAAATCTCAACTTTGTTCTTATGGGTTGCCCTTCATTGTGATTCCAAAATTATATATAAATTAAATTTTTTTTAAAAAAAATCATACCTAAATTGATTAAATAATTTAAACTATCGAGCTACGTGGAGGTCAACCTCGAACTAAGCTGTGATTCTCTGTTTAGACGGTGAATGAGAAAAAGGAGTGGAGAGAGATTTCTCCCCGTTATATATTGGACGGACACGAGGATTTGAAAAATATATTCCCCGTCTATGCCCAATTCTCCACCCCATCCCGACCTCACTTAATACAATCACTCACTATATTTATATCCTTATATTTTAAACCTAATTAAATTTTATACAGATAAAACGACTTTAAAATCGTTTATAAGGTGATTCAGCTCTAATTTCTAATAACACGAGTAAATTAACTAATAATTTATATTGAAAAATAATAATTCTACGTTAAATACCTATTTTTTTAAAGAATTACAAACATGAAAAAAAAAATTATGTCACTGAGTCCTCTCCCCGATCCTCGTAAAAATAAACGAAGAAATTGATGGAGATGAGGAATGAAATAGGTGACAGTCAAGTACGAATACTCCGTCTCTGTTCCGCCCTCCCGGCTTCTATATGACTAGCTGCTGACCATAAAATGTGCGGATTATTCAATGCAAATATCTACTAAAAAAATATTGATCGAACTGAAAAGTGAAAATACTTCAAGCACGGTTTACGGTCGTTTAGAACCTAATTCATTTCTTATTCAACATTTTTTTAAAGTATGAATGTTACAAGCTTTCATTTTTTAGCTTGTATGTTGTATTTGTAAGCAGACTTGGAAAATATAGTAAAAGAACCATTTGTGCTTTTCTTTAGCCAATGACTAAGTTTCTTTGCATCTCGATGTAGTTTAAGTTGCATATAGAATCATTCAAGCTCGACATGATCAATCTTGCTTGTGGAGTGATTCGAATCTCAATCAAGTGTTCTTGTCTTGAGATATTTGATCAACAAGAATCATTGAAGCTAGACATGATCGATCTTGCTTATAGAGTGATTCGAATCTTAAACAATATTCTTGCCTTGAGATATTCGATCAACAAGGTAATCCGAATCTTACTCCCCTTCTAGTGATTCCTTATCTTATCAGTAAACCAAATGAACGTTATCATAATGGGTTAGTTGAGTTAGGTAGCTTTGATAGCGTTTTTATAAATATTTTAAAAGATCTCTTAATCTTTTTTTAAATAATTAAAAGTCAAGAAATTAAGATATTTTCACATGATTAAGATTAATTACTGAGCTTATTTAATATATTTTGCAAGCCTTTAATTAGAAGGGTCAACTTCAATAAAGATATATTATTGATTAAGAAAAATAATCATCACTTAATTACTCGATAATATTTAATTTTCACATTATTTTATTACTCAAACCTTTATTTTTAGAAGATATAAATAAAATAAATAAGTTTCTCGGACTCATAATTAAAAAACAAATTTAAAATTAACGATTTAATTTATAATTTAAATTTGATGTTAAGTTATGAACTTATTTGAGTTCGAATGGGTTCAGATAAATAAAAATTATATAAATTGAGTTTGTTTACGAGAAAACCGTTCAAATTTATTGTTAATTTTAAAATATATATTTTATTTTCAATATAATTATATATATTTATGACTATTTATTAATTAGTTATTCTTTAATAACTTTTAAAAATAATTTTTACTAAGGTAATTTTTAAATTTACGTTAAAAAAAAATTAAATAAATGTTTTATGAACTAACATTTTAATTTTATTAAAAACAATAATTTTAATAAACGACTGGACCAAGCCAACCCAAAAAGTTTATGGCTGAATCGGGTTGTTCAGTTGAAAAATTTACATCTCGAACAATTGAGTTGAGTCTAGAAAAAATGTCTCAACTCAATCCAATCCAACCCACGAACACTCGTTTTGTCATTTTTATAATCATTATTTTAAAACATGTTTTTATGGGTCCAAAATTACTATAAAAAGTAGATTGAAGAAAATATTTACCTAAACAAATAATTTTTTTTGATACATTTCGAGCTATCTATGCCTATCGTAATAAAAAAAATTTAAAATTCATTTTATTCCGAGACTCGTTCCGTTTTAACTCATTGAACTACGAAAAATTGTACGATTTAAAATTTAAAATGAATTAAA